CTGAAATGTAAAGTGTTGAGGAAGGACTTTTAACAACATCCAATCTTTTCCCGTAGGCTAGAGGATATCTTGAATATTTATTTACTTTTAAAGGAAACCACCCTGTTTGACAAGCTGTTGTGTTACACTGAAGGCAGTGCTAACTGTCTTTTTGAGCAGAAGAGATAAAATTAGTTGAGATGGGTCTGGAACTGCTGTTGTGGAATCCTTTTTGCTTGAAAACAAATAACAAATACACAGAAGGAGAGGGAAAAGGAGAGGGAAGAGAAGAACACAGATAGCAATTGCAGCTTCTGTTTCTTATGCTTTTAACTACCACCTCACTACTGCAGAAAGATGGTCTTACCAGCCACACAACAGTCTGACCAAACTGTAGCAATGTAAAGTCAAGACATTGCTTTCTGCTTGTTCTGTGTTGTTTTTTGGGTTTTTTATTATTGGCAGGTTTGCATCGGTGTTGCAATGCTTCAGTCTTTGTGACCAAGTCAGGCTCTTGGGAGATGGCAGAGAGCAAAGGAACAGATGACACTGGAAACCTGAGAAAAGAAGTAACAACAGGAACTCACTTCTCATCAAACTTTGTAATTAGTCTGCAGGGCTTAGCTAGAGCTAATGTGAACCCAGCAATGTCATCTGGATTGTTTCTTCATCTCTGTCCGGACAGGCTTTATCTCTCAGCATCTGGATAATCAAGGAAACAGCTAGTGGGTCAGCCACGGGGATCAAACTTACTTTGTCCCAACCATCCATTGTCCTAGCATCAGTGTCAAATTAGAGACCCCAACAAGCAGTGATGGATGGAAAAGCTGTAAAGAAATAAATAACTCTGTCCTGAAAGCAGGGTTTGAATAATATACAGTAAATGAGTGAGGGGCCACATGCTGAGAAACCAGAATAAATACTGAATACCTAAACAGCTATTAATGAGCATTGCCCATCTGGTATACTGATTGAGGCAGGGGTCCTGTGAAAAATAATAGCATGTGGCCATGTAATTTAAAAAACATATCATAATATATATATGCACAGCGAGCTCATATTAAAATTGCCTAGGCAACCTTTGTTCTTACATACCCTTAATTTTGCAGAGCATGGCTCCACAAAATTACTAATGATATTTTTCTGTAGGACTTAGGAAGCTCTCTCTACACACCAATTTCATCTTCAGTGTAATATTGGCCTGTATAATAACCAAAGCACTGATTTGGGAGTAGAGGTGAGAGTTTATTCAAGGTTCAGTAGTAGCAAAACTTTAACATTTTTCTTACTGAATCATTTCTTGCATTCAGTGACATCAAATACAAGAAGGAAGCATTAGAAAAGTGGAAAGTAGGTAAAATAATTGGAGATTAATATAAAAGAATAGCACAAAAACACAGGGGCCAAGTAAGAAACAGTAAGACACAAAATGAGGTTAAGTGATGATAAAAAATCATTGTGTAATGATGCAAGAAATGCATTTTTTAAAACTTTTCTTGCCGTTCTTTCTGTGCCTTGCTAATGATGCCTGATTCAGAACCTTGGTCTTTCTGATTTTGTCCCAGGGAAAACACTAGACACCTTCTGAACAGGAGGGAAAATACTGAAAGGTGATGCCTAGAGAGCTGTTTTTCGTCCCTTTTGATTCTTTTCACTAAACAGTGGATCTACAGCTAATAAACTCAACACAATGGGAAGCACAGGAAATAATTCAGGCTAGAACAGGAAAAATGTTGGAAAAAGATGACTTAAATGAACTGGATTTTCAGATCAAAATGACCAAAGAAAATTAATCTTATAATGTCTTAAAAAAACTGCCAAAGCAATCACATAGTAATCAGCAACGTGCGAGGTGAGATAAGGTTCAAGAAACCCCAAGAACAGTAATCACAGTGCTTATGCTTGAAAAGAGCAGAAGGGTAGAGTTAGGAGTTGCTCAGCCAAATCATAGCAAAACACTAGAATAAATAATCAAACTATTAGCAAACAATTTAATCCCTGGCAGAATAAAACAAAAGTTGAAAGATGCACACATCACATCACAGTGTGAAAGGTTTCCATGAGCGTGACTGCCTTACACAGAAAACTTGCCTTAAGAGATACCCTTGTCTTACAAATACCTCTTATCTTGCTTGCAGATTGCAGCCCCTCTGCCCCATCGATGGTCGATTTGGACCCCGTGGCCAGGACGAAATCCCGCTGCGAGCTCTGCAGTTCAAGCGAGGGCTGCTCCACGAGTTCCGAAAGGGCAATGCCACCAAGGAACAAATACGACTGCACAATCTGGTTCAGCAGCTTCCCAAGGCCATTATCATTGGGGTGCGGAAAGGAGGCACCCGAGCACTGCTGGAGATGCTGAACCTTCACCCCGCAGTGGTCAAAGCTTCTCAAGAGATTCACTTCTTTGACAATGATGAGAACTATGCCAAGGGGATTGAGTGGTACCGGAAAAAAATGCCTTTTTCTTACCCTCATCAAATAACAATTGAGAAAAGCCCCGCGTATTTTATCACCGAGGAAGTACCTGAAAGGATTTACAAAATGAACTCATCTATCAAATTATTGATCATTGTCAGGGAACCTACCACACGAGCTATTTCGGATTACACTCAGGTGCTGGAAGGTAAGGAAAGAAAGAATAAAACTTACTACAAATTTGAGAAGCTGGCTATTGATCCTAACACCTGCGAAGTGAACACTAAGTATAAGGCGGTGAGAACCAGCATCTACACAAAACATCTGGAGAGATGGTTAAAATACTTCCCAATTGAGCAGTTTCATATCGTGGACGGAGACCGGCTCATCACAGAACCACTGCCAGAACTCCAGCTGGTCGAGAAGTTCCTAAATCTTCCTCCGAGGATAAGTCAGTACAATTTATACTTCAATGCCACCAGAGGGTTTTACTGCTTGCGATTTAACATTGTCTTTAACAAGTGCCTGGCGGGTAGCAAGGGACGCATCCATCCAGAGGTGGATACCTCTGTCATTACCAAATTGCGCAAGTTCTTTCATCCTTTTAATCAAAAATTTTACCAGATCACTGGAAGGACATTTAACTGGCCCTAAATTAAACTTCATACAACACTTTCTGTTGCACCTGAGACATGCAATAAATGTCTCTGCTAAAATATGCACTTTTCATAGACATGGCTATAAAAGTAACTTTTTTCATGCATACGTGTACATATGCAGTGTGTGACCAAATATACGGTGGGATCAATTTTTTCTACAGAGTAGTAACTAACATAAATTTACTGTCAGCATAGTTGCATCTTTTAAGATATAATAATAAAGGGAAAGGAGGTATTTAGGGACATCAAGTCAGACACCGTTAAAAGGGTCAGTGTTCCTCTCGCTTAGTGAAGTGTTTATGTGACATACTTATTGATCTAAGAAGAACATTATGCCATAAAAATCCATGTCAAAAGTCTGTGAAGCTGTGAGAAAGCATAATCTTCAGGCTATATTTGGTATGTATATTGCTAAAGGAATACTGACACTTTAAACACAGTGCTGAATTTTTACAATGAGAGTGGATAGTACTATTTTCTTATTATTTGAAATGAATATCTTATCTCATACCAACTACATTGTTTCAGAGTTCCTGTGGTGAGTTTGCACTATTGTTTTATTGTATGGACCATAGTGTCACTTGTAGCATGTCAATCATATGTCAAAAAAGGTCAAATAATTTTTCTTCTATGCTTGTGTGTCGACAAAGCTGAACATCGTGTACATAGTGTACAATGTTTGTAAATACTGGTTTCACACTAAGTAATTCTATTTTGTAAACTGAATATGGCTATTTAATTTATTGTGAAAATTAAATTTATTGTGGTATTTAAAAATGGAATGGATTAAAATTACCTATATGTGCAACAGCTTTTCACCTTTGCTTGATGTACATCGATGTGGTCCCTTAGCCCAGACAAATCACGCGCAAATGTGTGAGAGAGAGCTGCACATGTAAACTTGGTTTCTAGACAGTTGAGAAAACTGGTACATGTGGTGAAGCTGAGTTTATTAAAAAAATCATCCATCTGGGAATCTGGTGTCATACACACCTCAAAGAACATTATTGTTGTTCTATTGCAGCACTTTGCTATAATTAATTCAGTTGCAGTAGCCCATGAGGCTACAGAACGACTGTAAGAGATTACTGTAACCAGGTATATCAGAAAAGCAGAGCCACTATTAAAACCAAAACGACAGACAGTCAAACAAGATTAGAAGAAGAGTTATAGAGATTTCATCACCGGAAGCTGGTGATGTTTCAGAAGTCAAGGAAAACAGTTGTGATATATCTGCTTTTATCTGGTAACATATGCACCTGCTCCAACCAACCAACCAGAGTGTTGTTATTCCTGATATAAACATACAGCTCATGTTTCCATTCGGTAAGTGACAAGAAATTAGTTCAGGAAATTAGTATTTTCATGTTTTATACATTGTATAGCTCTTAAAAATTCATAAGAAAAAGAATGAAAGCAATTGAAAAATGTCTTTTAGAATAAGAAAAAAGAACGAAGAAAACCCAACCACTTAAACCCAACATGTAAAGATTGATGGGGACAGAGATTTTGGAAGGTATCCAGAACATCTGAATATTTTGGGCTACGGTAGCAGAGTAGCTGGTAGTTCAGATTATAATAAGATCAAGTTTTCCCTGTGGGCTTTTTATCTTGCTCAGTGATTTGGAAGCATCGGTTTTCTAAATAAGTGATTTTTAAATCTCTTGTGAGAGATTGCTAGTTGTCTTGCTGTATCTTTAATCATATGTGCTAGCACCGTGAGCAATGTGCCCTTTCTTCATGCTGCTTCAGAGTCTTGCCAACACAACACGGTAGAGCATATGTGAAATTTTCTGCAGTAGCTACAATACTACTCACTGTTTTCCTGTATAAGAGCCATTTATCCTGCCCACGTCCAGACATAAAGGCGTACACATTTAACTCACCTAATAGTGTTCAAAGAGGAGATTTTATCCAATTTAACATTTGCACAATCTTCAGGTGAGCAGACAGGTTCCAGGTGGTTTTGGGTGATACTTACTGGCTTCATATAGTCCTGGTACAAACTACAACTGAAGGCTGAGATATATTTTCAATGAAAGGGACAAACTGGGCCAAAGTTACCTCTAAGCATGAAATATGCATTTGAAATTAATATCTCTCTGCATTGATCAGAAAATCACAGAGGCTGTGATCTAACAGGCACGACTATGCATATTCCTGTTAAAGTCGTCTGGCTTAACTCCAGCTTATCATTTGCAATTTTGGAGACACATGGATAAATTTAGGTGATATCTTAGACAATCTGGTTCAAAAAAGCACAGAGGAATAGTCAGGACTAGCAGGGGAGAAAAGAGGGTTCAGAGGCATTGCAATGTATTAAGAAGCCTACTCCAGCCAGTCAGTCAGCTTCATCAGGGGCCCAACTTCAATGCCTCTGTGCAAATGCAGGTAGCATGGGGAATAAACAAGAGGACTTGGAGACACGTGCATGTCTGCAGGGCTATGATCTTATTGGCATCACGGAGATGTGGTGGGATGGCTCCTATGACTGGATATTTGAATGGAAGGATACAGGCTCTTTAGGAAGGACAGGCAGGGCAGGCGAGGAGGGGGTGTCGCCCTCTTCATCAATCACCAGCTGGAGTGCATGGAGCTCCACCTGGGGATGGATGAGGAGCCAACAAAGAGCTTACGGGTCAAAATTAAAGGAAAGGCAGGGACAGGTGACATTGTAGTGGAGGTCTGCTACAGGCCACTTGACCAGGGAGACCGAGCAGATGAAGCCCTCTATAGACAGATAGGAGCAGCCTCACATTTACAAGCCCTGGTCCTGATGGGAGACTTCAATCACCCCGATATCTGTTGGAGGGACAACACAGCAGGGCATAAGCAATCCAGGAGGTTCCTGGAATGCGTTGATGATAATTTTCTCTTCCAAGTGATCGAGAAGCCAATGAGGAGAGATGCCATGCTGGACCTTGTTCCCACCGACAAGGAGAGGCTCGTAGGGAACGTGAAGCTCACGGGCAGCCTTGGCTGCAGTGACCATGAAATGGTGGAGTTCAAGATCCTTAGGGCAGCAAGGAGGGTGCACAGCAAATTCATTACCCTCAACTTCAGGAGAGCAGACTTTGGCCTCTTCAGGGATCTGCTTGGTAGAGTACCATGGGATAAATCCCTGGAGCTCCTGGACAAACTCAAACACAAAAAGGAAGCCTACAGAGGGTGGAAGCAAGTGCAGATAGCCTGGGAGGAATACAGAGAAATTGTCTGAGCAGACAAGGATCAGGTTAGGAAAGCTAAAGCTCTGATAGAATTGAACCTGGCCAGGGACATCAAGGGCAACAAGAAAAGCTTCTTGTAGGTCAGCAATGAAAGGAAGACTATGGAAAATGTGGGGTCTCTCTGGAAGGAAATGTGAGACTTGGTTAACCAGGATATGGTGAAGTCTGAGGTACTCAATGAATTTTTTGCCTCAGTCTTCACCAGCAAGTGCTCTAGCCACATAGCTGAAGTCGCAGAAGGCAAAGGCAGGGACTGGGAGAATGCAGAACTGCCCACTATAGGAGAAGATCAGGTTCAAGAATATCTAAGGAACCTGAAGGTGCACAAGTCCATGGGACCTGATAAGATGCATCTGCAGGTCCTAAGGGAACTGGCAGATGAAGTGGCTAAGCTACTTTTCAACATATTTGAGAAGTCATGGCAGTCCGGTGAAGTTCCCCCTAACTGGAAAAGGGGCAACATACCCCCCATTTTTAAAAAGGAAAAAAAGGAAGAACTGGGGAACTATAGACCGGTCAGTCTCACCTCTGTGCCCGGCAAGATCATGGAGCAGATGCTCCTTGAAATTATGCTCAGGCACATGGAAAATAAGGAGGTGACTGGTGACAGCCAACATGGCTTCTGTAAGGGCAAATCGTGCCTGACAAACTTGGTGGCCTTCTATGATGAGGTTACAGCACTGGTGGATAAGGGAAGAGCAACTGATGTCATCTACCTGGACTTGTGCAAAGCATTTGACACTGTCCCGCATGGCATCCTTATCTCTAAATTGGAGAGACATGGACTTGATCGATGGACTGCTTGGTGGATAAGGAATTGGCTGGACGGTCGCACTCAAAGAGTTACAGTCAATGGCTCGATGTCCAAGTGGAGAACAGTGACGAGTGGCGTTCCTCAGGGTAAGTATTGGGACCGGCACTGTGTAACATCTTTGTCAGCGACATGGACAGAGGGATTGAGTGCACCCTCAGCAAGTTTGCTGATGACACCAAGCTGTGTGGTGTGGTCAACATGCTGGAGGGAAGAGATGCCATCCAGAGGGACCTTGATAGTCCTGAGAGGTGGGACTGTGCAACCCTCACGAAATTCCAAAAGGCCAAGTGCAAGGTCCTGCACTAAAGGGGCCTGCAGGAAAGCTGGAGAGGGACTGTTCACAAGGCCATGTAGTGATAGGACAAGGGGGAATGGCCTCAAGCTGAAGAAGGGTAGATTTAGATTAGATATTAGGAAAAAATTCTCTATGGGAGTGGTGAGGCTCTGGAACAGGTTACTTGGAGAAGTTGTGGATGCCCCATCCCTGGAAGTGTTCAAGGCTAGGTTGGACGGGGCTTTGGGCAACCTGTTCTAGTGGAGGGTGTCCCTGTCCACGGAAGGGGGGTTGGAACTAGATGATCGTTACGGTCCTTTCCAAGCAAAACCATTCTATGATTCTATGATTCTAGGCCTAAAAGAGTAGGAGATTTATTCACTTTCGCTGAGCCTTCAGTGCAATGTCCTTGAGCCTCTTTGGCATTACCTAATTAAGAGAAAATTTCAAAACTTCTTCTTAATACATGGATCCAACACACCACCCAAAGCACACTCCTAGGTTAATGGGGATTTTGCTGCAGTACTCATAACCGGTTTGAGAAGTTCTGACCTTATGATATTTACCTCTTCAGGAGCAATTTGTGAATAATTCATTTCAGCCTCTTTGCTTTGCTTCCCAAATCCTAAGTGAATCATTTCTATTCAAATTGATCATGAGTGTTCAGACTGGCAAGAGCGCTCCTAGCTTGAGTTTATGATTGCAGAGTGAGGCACAGCTATATGAAGTTGCAGCTGTTAACTTATGGCATTCAAGTTCTCTAAAGACATTTCATATTTTCTGTACCATAAAATTGCAGGCTTCACAGCTCTGATAAATGTTTGGATTAAAACTGCTAATATTTCTGTGCATTTTTATCAGATTGTCCCAGCTGCTATTTAAACTACATAGAACAACAATTTGCAGCATAAAAGAATATCAGAGATGAATTTGAAATTGTATTTTCAGAAATCAGTACATAGGTAGATAAAGGACTGACATTTGGAGATCAGCAATTCGTTTACCATTAACCTACTATACTGCCTTTTCTTAAGTAAAGCAGAATAAGCATGATGAAATTTTTTTTGCCATGATGTCTAAGAATACAAGAGAGACAAAGTTTTTAGTCACATATTTCAATATACTAGTCCAAGATTTTTAAGAGGCAACAGACACAAATGGAAACATCATACAGGATGTCCATATGAACATCAGGAAAAATTTTTTTACTGTCAGGCTGACTAAGCACTGGCACAGGTTGCCCAGAGAGTTTGTGGAGTTTCCATCAGTGGAGACATTTGAAAGCCTTCTGGACATAGTTCTGGGCAACTGGGTCTAGGTGTCCCTACTTGATCAGGTGTTTGGACCTCCCTTCCAACCTCAACCATTCTGTGAAGACCTCCCTCTACCATTAAATTTCTTCTTAAATATTGCCCATCAGTTCAGTGTTACACAGACCTCAGAGAAGGTCCAAGCCCAGTGTCACAAGCCAGTCCAATTACTGTTCAAACCCA